ACTAAATTCTAACGTAGCTGCAGTTATGTACTGACGTTCGTTACACAATGGCTACACAATGGACTTGAATGGACATGGAGGGCAATGGAGAATGAAGGTTAACGCCGAATGGATTGGAAAGAATAAATTAATGAAATAAATACTTGTAGTGCGCAATGCGCACAGTTGTAATTATGAAAGTTGCCACTTCGTCGCCACGCGCTGCAATCGAGTAAGAATGTTGATCGCGCGCAATTTAAAACATAGAGATTTATATTATCTCTTCGTTCTGGAGATGCACGAAGCCAGTTGCAGCCAATCGCGAGATGGGGCATACATTTTAACATAATTATGGTATCTTTATTTTGTTGAAGAGAGAGTAACGAGATAATAAAATTCCAGCTAAACAGAAACATTTATATATTTTTTTGTGCGAAGTCAATGCAAGCTGATTCTAATCGTAAATGTAATTATAACAATTAATTGCATTCTGTTTCGCTCGGCCGGAAAGTGGTGACGACGCGACCATGGTGGGGACCAATACTTGATGGGGGTATGCTAGGCATGGTCAGGGAAGGCGCATGAGGAGAAAAGTAGTGGGGATCGAAATACGGGCGAAAAAGAGGGGAAGCAAGCAAAAATTATGAGATCCCTGGTAACAGGTCTACTGTACCCTACCCTCGGTTAAATGTCCACGGCACTACTCGTCCCTTACCACCTACAATTGCCAGTGGAGATCTCACAAGTAGATAAAGATAAAGAAAAAGTACAACGTGATTAATAAAGATAGATAGATATGAAAGAAGTACTTACATACCGCGCGTGAAGAAAATGACCATATTATTATGCAAATTCGTCCTAAAAATGGGAAAGTACTTATTTCTCAATTTGATATGAAAAAAGAACTGAATTTATTCACAAAAGATTTGAGAAGAAAAAGAAAATAAGGAATCAAGACGGATTCACGTATCTTCGAATTCCTGGCGACTAATGAGACCGTCAATCTTTCCAGGAAGGAATATTCCAATTCGTACGAAGACACATGCACCTCATGCGTATTAAGTAGATAGTAAAGTGATACGTCTGTACCTCGTATGTGACATTCTCCAATTTATAAATAATATGAACGGCATTGCTACTATTACAGCCTACTTTAATACATAGCCATGCTGAGAATAAAATGGCAACACCGCGAACTAATTTTTCGCAAGCAGAAGGCAATTGATCACAAGCGTGACTGGCTATAAGCGCGGAAGAATGGCATATACATTTTAAAGTTATTAATTCCGGTACTTCAATTTTAAGAAAGGTCATAAAAGAGTTATTGCATCCGACCATAACGGATGCATTATCGCATGCTAATCCAACAATATTTTTTAAAGGTATTGCTTTATTCGTGAAAAATTGTTTAAAAGTTTCAAAAATTTTACTCGCGGAACAATCTGTACTGTCAAGAGACAATAATTCTAGTAGTTGTGTGTTGACGTTACGAGATATTGGCGATACGTATTTGACAACTATGCACATTAATTTCCTATCGGAAATATCTGTGCTTTCATCAATTAAAACGGAGAATTTACATGTTCTTAAACATTCTACAATTTTCTCAACTTCGCGTTTAGCAATAACATTTTTTACTATTTTAGTGCACTTATGCCGGGCAAGTGAAAGATCCTGTACAACTTCGGGTTCAGTGCAAACGTTTTTTAATAATGGAACTAAATGCTCTACCGCACAAAAAGCTACGTTATGCTCTGCAAAAAAAGCTGATAATTTAATTTCGGCACGTTTAACTTTATCCTTATGAGGTAAATTACTATTATCATTATTATTACTATTACTAGTACTGGCTACGTCAGAATATACAGAAAAATTAGAATTACTACTATATCACAAATATTGTCATTAACGTCAGTGACTTTGTTGCTTTAATGAACTTATATTTTTCATATGGTTGACCGTCTGTGCATGCTGAACTAAATCTGTTCTGCAGCATCGGATAGTTTTATTGCACGCAATACAGAGCGCTTTATTTTCTACTGATGAGGGAGCTAACCAATTCGCGAAAACCTCATCTTCTAACCATGCTCGTTGAAAATTACGAATCTTAATTTTTTTTACACTACTCGCCATGATATTTAATTATTAACGCGATTAACGAACTATACCTGCATCAATTATCACTATACTTACCTCATCAACAGCAGCATCAGCCTCGGTCTTCTCCCGCCAATTTTACTGCCAACAGTCT